TTACAACTAAGTTGTACCACACGATTTAGAGTAAGAAGAAAGAGTGACAGTCCTAAATGCCATGTAGCCTCCTGCTTATAAGTGTGGTGCACAATACACCTACAAACAAGATTCTACTAGACACGACTTGTAGATTTCCTAGGACAAAATTGCTCTAATACCACTTCTGTCACGATCCAAACCGAAGGGTCATGATGGGCACCTAGTACCTTACTCAACCGAGTACCAACGTAACTTATATTTCTTATCGTACTATCATTGGTAATTGGGCCAACATGGCCACAACTCATAATGTATAACTATAAGTGGGAAAGTACTGTATCAATGATCCATCTTTCTTAATATATGAATACATATGGGCCGTCAAGGCCTCTGACATGCTGTACAAAATGAACCTCTGTCTACAAAGCCTCTAAGAGTATTTGACATCAAATGGGACAGGGTACCGACCTACCCATAAGTCTGTAGTAAAATTTTGACACGATGACTCATGGACTCGGCTGCACTCCGAATGAGGTGGAGTCTTATCGATCCTTCGCTGAATGCTAACCTCGTCTACTATGAGGGATCGTCAAACTGATTGTCTATACCTGCAGGCATGAATGCATCGTCCCCTACAAAAGGACATCAGTACGAATAATGTACCGAGTATGTAAGTCATATAAATAAGTATATAAAAGACATGGAAAAAACATGGAGTAAATGACTCAACCTGTAAGTTTGGATAGCTCAATAAATCATGAAATACTTATAGTGCCATGCATATGCATATGAATTTCATGTCATGCATAGGTACATGTGTTCATAACATTATCAAACCTATGAGGGCATCCCATCATATCATCTCGGCCACTATGGAAAAAATCATCAATGTATACTAGTTGATCAGGTGGTGGTGCGTATATAACACTGTAACCACTTCCCATATCCCATATACATATATATACGTATATGACGTCATCTAGTCATGGGTCAATGTACATGTATAAATGAATGCAATGCATGAGAAGTACGTCAATAAAATCTCTTGGAATGTCATAAGACCATTATGACTTAGAGAAATATCATAAAGTAAACTTTTTTCAACTTACGTATTTTTCTAAGACCCATGAATAGAAGATGTAATAATAAGACACATGGAAATTCAAGAACATAGGCACCTCTAATACTTCTATGAATAGAGTTATTTATGGAAGTTGTGCATTTGCTCATTTCGTTTATATCGTGTGGATCATGCCAAAAAGAAAGAAGGGATAGCCTTAACATACATGATCCGATTTTCTTGACAATCCCACTAATACACGTCAATTGTGATAAAATACGTAACGATGGATCAAAGTAGAGAAAAAACTGTGTGATATTCTTGAGAAAGATTGTACCGTGCTCCGTTAGAATCGCAATTCTCACGTTACTAAGCAGTCTTGTATGGATTTGATAGAAAATCACATTGTTATCACCTGTATGAGTTTGCTGAAGCATTCTTCCTTACATTAGAGATATATGTATCTCCCTTAAGTGATTTAGAGGGGTTCTTTTAATCTTAGGGGGTGTGGGGCCCACTTATATGGTGACTAAGCCACAAAATCCTATAAATAAGCCACCACCTCCTTAAGCATATGACTAGATAGCAACTTGCCGCCAACTTTTCAAAATCCCACGTGGATGTTGCCCCCTTATAATTATCCAACAAATCTCATTTAAATATTTATCCACAAATTCAATAATTAATTAATTACCCATATAATTAAGAATTATCTCAAATTACTTAAAATACTACTCACTTTTAACACACTTTATACATCTTGCTATCATGTCATGTGGTACCTTGTATGGCACTAGCTCATAAATACGGGGTATTGTAGCTTGGACCGTATTTTATCTAAAAATGTCAAACTTTGATGAAATTTATTTTCTTCGATTTGTTTACCCTCTCACCTTCACGAATTTACTCATCACTTGTTTGAAATAGCATAATGCTTATAGTCTCAAAATAATCTCATTCCCGAGCTTACTTCGGTTAACTTATGACAAAACTTTAACGTACGAAAATGGGGGATGTAACATCTCATTTCCGAGCTTTCATCAATTTTTATGGCGTACTTTTACGTACAAAATATGGGCTGTAACACTTTGTAGCGGTCCAATTTACTTTGATTGTTTTCCTAATATTACAATATCTCTTAGAGACAGAAATATCTTAGATTCTTTAACTCTCAATGTTAAAACAACAAATTATAAAATCAAAATTGGATCCTTACCAGTAGTAATTATTTGCAGAATACAGTATAAAGACATGAGTTCAGCCTTTAATACTGGAGCCATGAAAACCATTCATAAAGGTGAAATTGTTCTTTTCAAAACAGAACAACAAAGATCTCATCTGTCAATACCAAAACTCATTTCTTGGAACCAAGTTTCTCTACCACAAAACTGGTTACTACAAGATGCTACTTAAGCTGAGAAACCAGAAAATACTACGGTCTCTCTGGTCCAATAATATTCTAGCGGATCTGTAACCATTTCCTTTCAAAGGTCCCTTAGCCAAAGAGTCTCTGTCTCTTCCTCTTCGACACAGTCTAGAAGACATTTAATATCTTCCTTTCCTTCTAGGATTGAAACTGTTAATTTTGAATCTAGGATCCCACAAGCCAAATATTCTGCAAAAACAGCCCCTCCAACAGAAGTTAGTTATGAACAACCTCAATCTCCAACTTACTCAGCTTTAGGTGCTGAATTAGGAGTTTTAGAAAAAGATTTTCAAATTGATAAAGAAAAACTTCGAGCAAATTTTTATTCACAAGAAAATATTTTGAAAAGAACTTGGGTTTTCTAGAATTTTCAAGGAGACGAAAGAAAAAATCACCAAAGCATTTACTATGAGTCTTTAAACTTTATAAAAGAACAAATTAATTTCTTTGAATGGTTTGAAGCTTATGCTGAATATCACCAATTAAGTTTTCCTTTTTGTAAGTCAATTAACGTTTCGAAAATTTGGAAAACCTCCGGAGAGGAAGTCATCTCACAACTTCCTCCAGCACAAGTATTTTCAACAAGTTATGCAAATATTTCTGTAGTAGCTAATTCTTTCAAATTAAAAAACAAAAATGAAGCTATTACTGGCAAAGATATTAAAAATATATTTGAATGAAATAATTATACAAATAAATATTTACAATCTCTTGGTGAATATTTAGTTACAAAATCACCTTCAGCATATACTAGTTTTAAACCAGCAGAAACCTCAACTTCTTCAATCCATTTGTTTAAACCTTATGAGATCCCTAGAACTTTCGCTATGAAACTTCGTGATCCGCCAAGCTAAAGCCTATCCTTAGTTCTCTGACCTTCAACGTAGAATCCTAAAAATTGAGAAAACCCTAATAGATCAGGATACCCCAACTAATGAACAACTCTCATATGCAGGAAGACTACAAATCATCAATGCAGTCTTATTCTCTGTATACAATTTTTGGGGTGCCGCTTTTATTCTACCTCAAAGTGTGTTGAAAGAAATTGATCAAAAGTGTAGGAATTATTTGTGGGGTAGCGATGGGGAGAAAAAAAGTGACACTAGTCTCTTGGAAAAAAGTGTGTACTCCTAAGCAATATGATGGCCTGAACATTTAAGGATGTAAGCTATGGAACATGATTTTCTGTTGGGAAGTTGTGTGACAATTGACAACCAAAAAAGATGTGCTTTGGGTGAAATGGGTGCATACAATATATAGAGAGGGACAACTGATATATGACATCATACACCAGTGCAGGATTGTAGTTGGTACTGAAAAAATTGAACTCGCTAAATGGAAGGAGGAGAACTGGTGCCAAGGTGTAAAATATCGATTGACATCATCAGGTATTTACTCAGTAACATGCAGATATATGTTGGGGCCTCTTACTAAGTGGAAGAAGCTGACTTAATATGGCTCAATTTTGTTACCTCGATAGAGAATAATGATCCGGCTAGCTTATCAAGATAGACTACTTACAAAGGAAAGAATGCAAAAAATAAATATACATGTAGATAATGAAGAATGTTGCTAATGTGATGAGGGGATAAAGAAAACGAGCAAGCATTTGTTTGCAGGCTACAAATGGATATCTGAAGTGCTGCAAAGTTGTGTTTACAATGGATAAAGAATAAAAGATGGAAACAATTCAAAAAAGAAGTTGTTACTACTATCTAGGGAGGCATGGTATACTATACATGGCAAGTTAGGAGTTGGAAAGTGTTTAGGCAAACAAGCGTAAATACAAAGCTTGTAATAGCGAGATACAAAGGGATATTAAGGTGCGACTTGAGAAACATAGGGAACCCAGAAAAGCTAGGAAGTGTCAATATTTAGTCCAAAAATTTTATAACTAGTGAGGTGGGGTTGAAGACTCTATTAGAGATTCAATAGCTTAAGCACCCTTCTTAGAAGGTGGCCAAAGCGATGGATGCTCTTAGTTTATAAATTTATTTGTTTGGTTGGTTATGGTAAATACTTAATAGGTTTTACCAAATTATTTCAATGTGATGGGATCACCAAAAGTTGGGTAATGTTTTTTCTTTCTTCTGCATCATTTCCTACTTCATTTATCTATTTTTGAAAGGTCTTTTTTTTAATCTTAATTTAAAGATCAATTAGGTGGAAGAAATATGTGATGCAATGGTAATAGTTAATGACATTATTCAATATTCTTAATATGATATTTTATGTCTGCCATTAATCATTAAAGACCTTTAACGGAACATTTTAGAGAAATTGTGTAATTATACTAAACTCCATTCCATTATCACATATAAGATTAAACAAAGTTCGACCACTGCACTTGGGTATGCGCTCACCATCAGCTATCTTCACTAGTATATTGTAATCATTTTGAATTAATAATAATTATAAATATTTTAAAGAATTCAAACTAAGAGAGAAGTGTAATATCATCATATGGGACGTAAGTGTTACAAAACCAAATATGAAGGGAGGCCTTTGAAATTACCCCTTAAATTTGTTTTTGATTTTTTTTGATTTTTTTTGGGTCAAACAATAAATTTTTATTTAATCAAGTATGATATATACATCACCAGTTCATTGTTGACTCTAGAAGTAGCCATGTTCTTTGTAACTTTTTAAATACTTCCTCCTTTCCTCTAGCATCTATTACAATATAGGCCTATATTTGGTTTGGGTATGAGTTTAAACTATTTAATAGCTTTTTCCAACTGCTTCTATGTTGTCCTTTCTTATGCGGTTGAATGACATTCTCTCTTAATCTTAGAATGTGATCTTGTTGCTATTCTTGAAATCTTCTAGCATTTCGTTCACTCCAAATATGATAAACAGTCGCAGCTAGTAACCATCTTAGGACCTCTGCATGGGCTTTGTTGTTGCATCTTTTGGTCGTTAACCTTTCAACTTCCTCCTCCCAGCTTCTTACTTGACTGCACTCTCTTGTCCAACGTAAGAAGGAGCTCCATAACTGCCTTGAATATTCACATTCAAAAAATAGATGTGAATGTGTTTCTTCAGTATCAGACATGCATAATACACAATTCCTAGAAACTTGTATTCCCCATTTAGCCAATCTATCAACTGTAGTGAATCCCTTCCGTAGTGCAAGCCAAAGTATAAACTGATACTTTAGCACAAGACATGGTCCCATATTGAGGCTTTTCCACATGACTTTAGGATATTGAGGGATCAGATGCATAAATGCCTTCTTGATTATGAACTTATCAGCATGAGTGAATTGTTGTAGCTCTGTGTAAAGATCATTGTTCCGATACCATTTCCTTGCATCGAATATTTTCCTAACAAGCCAGCATGCTTGTTTGGGTGTCTCCATCTCACTAATATCTCTTCTTTTTATGTAAAAGTTGTGAATCCATTGAACCCACAAGGTGTCTTTCTTAGCTGTGATAACCCAAAACAGTTTAGACATGGCTGCTTTATTCCATGTCTGAAACTCAATGATGTTCAAACCCCCTGCTGATTTTGGCATACACAGCCTCTCCCATGCCACTAATGCTTTTCTTGATGTTGCACATTGTCCAGTCCACAAGAATGTTCTACATACACTTGTTATTTGCTGCATCATCTTCCTTGGTATCAAAAATACTTGTGATCAGTATGTTTGTATCTCGAACAGGACACTCTTGATTAGCTGTACTCTGCCACTATATGAAAGAAATTTGGTGGTCCAACATCTAATCCTGGCAATCATTCTCTCCACCAGCGACATGCATTGTTGAATTGTTATTTTCTTGGATGATAATGGAACACCAAGGTATTTGAAAGGTATCTCACCAAGTACAAAATGCATTTCAGGAAGAATTTGATCCTTGAATTGTTGATCCACCCCTATTATATATAAAGAGTTTTTCTCCATATTTGTTTTGAGGACTGAAACTGTTGAATAATATTCAAATACCTTAATCATCAGTTGAATAAACATTCGATTATCCCTGCAACACATTATTATGTCATCTGCAAAACAAATATCGGTTAGTTTCATTTTTCCTACATTTTTTTGATTGTTTTTGGTTAAATTTTCACATTTAAGTACAGTCAAAGCGAGAAATTGTTTTCACTTGGAAATTTCTGAAACTCAAAAAAAAAAAAAAAAGAATAAGGAGGCACGTACTTGCTAGTGAAAGCAAAGTTCACCTTACAAACCGACCCGTCATACCCGCTGGTCGTGTCAATTATACTACTTCCCCAATTTCGAGAGTGTGGAGTGCCACTACTGTGAGCGAAGAGGATACTGAAGAAAAAGTGAAACAAAAATGAGAATGAGTTAATGACAACAAAAGCGAATACTCCTGCACTTTTAATACTCAATTTGAAATTTGGCCAACATTCAGATCTATTCCCTTTGGAGTTTTCTGAAGATAGCCATTTCTAAAATCCCTCACGAACATGCCTCCTACAGACAATGATTTCGATCTCAGAGTATTTTAATCCCCATTTCCCTCTTCTCTCTCATTTCATTTTGTGTTTCTAAGTTCAACGCACTCTTAACTATATTTCTTACTCTATAATTTTTCTGCAGCGCACATCTACTCCTCCTAGCGGCATGGGAATCAGGTAATAGACAAGACCAATTCTTCTTTCTAAAAAAACACATTTAGGGTTTTGATTTGTAAAATGTAGTGATTTGTGTTTTTGTATATTTGCAGTGAGTATAATTTTGCAGATATAAACAATTTGGAGCACTGTGCTAAGTATCTCAACCAAACTCTGGTCACCTTTGGATTCCCTGCTTCCCTCGATCTCTTTGCCCATGACCCTGTACGACCATTTCTTAGTTCTTCTTTTATTCTTATTTTTTTTCCGTTTATTTTGTTTTTCTCATTGTATTTTAAGGAAAATTTACAGTTTGCCTGTGGGGAGCACCGGGGTAGGGGTTGGGTTGTTATGTTAGGGCTTACTGAAAATGCTAGCCATTACTTTATTAACCATGCTGTTAGGGTTAGGGTTGGACACGTTGAAGGGAAAATTCAATTGAGATAGTGAAGTTGATTGCTTGGTGGGTAGAGTTACCTGATATCTGTACTGATGGGAGGTAGAAAGTACCCGGCACACAAGCTGGCCCGGACACAACCGTCATTAAAATAAAGATAGTAAAGTTGACTGATCAAACTATGATAGTGAAAAACTGAATATTGCAACTGATAAAACTATAAAGACGTTCAGCTTCAAAATATTCATTTTTATTGAGGTACTGTTTCTTAGGCAACGGTAGTGAGTGGGTGCAAGTGCTAATAACTCGGTCCTAAATTATTTAAATGATCTAACACCACTTGATATCATCCAAATTTCAATTTGTGTATTATGATAGTTCTAGTGGAAAAAATTATTATTCGGAAAAGAGATCACATTTGAATAGTTTCCCATTCATAATATTGACCAATGAAAGTTTGGTTGGAACTTGTCAGTCAAAACCAACTCACTCTAAGGAAACGAATGCTTCGCGAGACACTCTTCAAAGTTGTATTATTGATATTATTAGTGGAATAATGCTGAACATTGTGAGATGTATAGAAATACGTCACATATATTAGGACCAACTGTGTATTCTACTTTTCTATATGTGTGTAATACTGACTGATTTCTCATTTGATAGGTTTCTATAGCAAGGACTTGCAACTGTGTATATGCACTATTGCAGCAGAGGCAGAGGGATATTGAATTCAGAGTGTCTGCAAATGAGCAGAGACAACGGTATTCTAGACTTTTGAAGTAGTTCTTTGAGATTGGTGAAGACTGATTGTGTGGTCACAAATTTTGTTATTTTTTCATAGGTTTTCTTTGATTGTCTCTCTTATAAATGATAGTTCGAATGGAAGGACGAAAGCCATTTAAGAGATTGATGCTTGTTTTAAAGTAGTTTGCAGTTATTGGTGTAAGTGTTTTTAGATGTTACTTGCAATACTGAACTGGAAACTATTAAGTTACGACTTCCTTCAAAATCTGTTTGGCTTTTTCTTGTAACATCTCAGAAACATTGAGTTATAGGTTTCTGACTTCTTTTGTTATTTCCAACCTTTTATATTATCTCAGTAAAAAGGCGTTGGTGTCCTTAACGAATCTTTGTTCCCTCAAATCAAATCTTTTGTTGTTCGAATGCAACTCTTCTTGATTCCAGCCTGTATGCTTATGTTCTATGAAAAAAGTCAAAGTTACTTCTTTCCTTTTCTCAGCCTTGGATATAATGCGTTTGAGCTCTCAAGTAGAACATTTTGACTGTTGAATGGACTCCTCATAGTGAATTAGGGGAGTTTAAAATGATCAATTCAATTGGTGGACGTATAAGCAAAGCTGACAAGGACCCAAATACTTCCTATTACTAGGAAGACCTTAAATTACAAAAGACACTTACATTTCTCATGGTGTACCTTGTAAGTACCATTTAATTTGGATTATCTTGAATACAAGAAGAATAAAGTTCCAAATCCTAGTCCTTAACTATTGCGGTAATTATTCTACTTGTGGGCAATGGTGAAGTGACATAGACTGAAGGGTGGTCAGTTGAACACCCTTTTGTCGAAAAAATATACTGTTTATACTTCTTATATAGGTGAAGAAATACACTTTTTACACATATATATTCATTTTGAGCCCCCTTAGCGAAATTCCGGGCTCCGCCACTGTGGGTGGTTTCCAATTATCATGATGTTTTTCAAAAGTGAGCAAGATGTCCAGTAATTGTTACGTTTTCTTCTATCTAAAGGCTGTTATCAGACATATCAAGATTAGAGGCCAAAGTGGAGAGGCTGGAATCTCAAATACAAGCCAAAGATAGAGAGATAGCTACAATTACTAGAGAGGTGTGAAAGTCTACCTTTTCTTAAACTAAGGAGTCTAGATGTACAGTTGGCTGACTTTATACAAAAATATGTTTAGGAAGCTAAAGCTACAGCAGCTTTGAAGGCACAAATTGACAAATTGCAGAAGGAAAGAGATGAGTTTCAGAGGATGGTTCTTGGTAATCAGGTTGGCTACTATTTATTTATACTGCTTGTAGCGATGTACTGTTTCTCACAACTGGTCTCATTTATGCTGTATTTTTATTTTTGAAATAGCAAGTCAGAACTCAGCAGATATATGAAATGAAGAAAAAGGAAAAGGAGTATATAAAGTTGCAAGTGAGTTTTTTCATCTTTGTTTTCTTTCAATTATATGTATAGCTATATTACGGGTATTTCCAACTTATTAAGTATTAAAGTTTTATGGATGGGTTGTGCTATTTTCAGGAGAGGCTAAATCAAGTGTTGATGGAGAAAAAGAAGGAATCCAGATCAGGCATGGAAATAATGAATTTACTTCAGGTAGCATTAATTTTTAGCAGTTCTTTTACCCATGGTTATTCCGAGATTTAACAGTTTTGTTCGTATGTTTCTATAGAAAGAAGGGCGTCAACGTGGGACATGGAATGGGAAGAAGGCTGACAATGACTTCTACAAGAAGATTGTAAGTGGTGAATGGACTTGGTTAAACTCTTTCAGCTTCTCCAGGCTAAACTTATAATTGTGTATATTCACAGGTGGATGCTTATGAAGCAAAAAATCAAGAACTAGCTGCTGAAAATGCCGATTTGAGGGCATTATTGCGATCAATGCAGGTACAAGCAATAGCCATAACAGTGATTCGGTGTTTACATTTACAACAACAATAACAACAAAAAACCCAGTGGAATCTCACAAGTAGGATATGGGGAGGGTAGTGTGTACGCAGACCTTTCCCTTACCCAGGGAAGGTAGAGAGGCTTCTTCCGATAGACCCTCGGCTCAAGAAAAATGACCAGTGTTTCCATTTAGCATCTCTTTTTTAGTAATTAAAGCTACTCGGACAATTTCTTTAGAAAAGTTCTCTAAATAAGTTTTTTTCAGATTAAAGTTTGTTTGTTAAGTGAGGGAAGAAGATTTTTCAGGTCTACAAGTGCCCCTAGGCACTTCTTCACCCAAAAGAGAATTTTAAAAGTTCCTTGGAAAAGTTCTAACCGAACCACCTTTTTCAAAATTATTCTTCTTAATCTTTTTAAGTAATCTCTCTTTGGAATGCCTCCTAAATATCTCAAAAGTACAGACAGAAAATATCTAGAAAGTCTAGCCTCCTTTAGTTTGGAGATTATTCATATAGCACACTCCAACTAGTAATTAATTAAGCATCTTCCTCTTTCCGCATGTTGTGCTCATCCTTTATGAGGTAAAGTTAAATCCAAAAAATACATGTGCTCTTCTTAGTCAGTTTGCCCAGGCGTCCATACATGGAATATAATCAGTACTTCAGTAGGCATATAACCTCAAGAGTTGTTGAGGGAATAAGGTTGCAGGTCAGCATGATCTTTCTGTTAAGAGTTTTGTCTATTGCGTTGTGTTGAATGACCAAATTTTGATAAAACATGGAAATTTGTAGTAGTAGAAGACAGATAAAACAATTGCCTAAAGAAACATGGAGGGAAAGGTGCTTTTGGATCCCCTTTGGACAACTTTTAGAAAAAAGTTTTTGGAGAAAGTGTTCGTGCAAAAAGAAAACCTGTTTGGACAATTGTAGTTTCTTGAAGATCTGTGTGTCTTGCTAGTGAAGGAACTTTTATTTGAAACACCCTAAAACCACTCTCTTTAAAAATGTACACTTGTCTTCCTTTAGCTTTTGCTTGGCATATTTGGTTAGAACTGAATGCTCTGAAATCTGAGAACAACCTCTTTTTGATAGTTTTATCTTATGTCAATGGGTTCTAGTACTTCTTTCTTTTTTCTTAATTGTTTTTGGATATATTTGTTGCAGCTCATCCAAGAAAATAAAAAATAAGCAGATCAATATTTTTTTGTTGAGTGCGGTTTTAATGAGTGCCTGTGACACTATAGTGTCTGTGGAAGTTTTTTCGGACTTTACTGCATACTTACTGTTTGTTCACTTAAAATATGGATTCATTTTCCTTCAGCTTCTTCTTATGTTACTCCTAGTTTATTATTTATGTCAATATTTGGGGAAAATAGAACAAAAGAGAAGGGAAAGTCTACAAGCATGACAGTACAGAAGAAATCTGTTTGTCACACAACCTTGTATATTGATCTACGGATGAACTATACAAATTTTCTTCACTTGTAATACATACTTTTGAAGCAATGCTTTAATTGGAATGTGACTGACCTTCCTATTTGCTATAGGCTGACATGTCCATGAGTGAGTAATGAAATGCCTCAAATGGGTCTTCTAGGCAGTCAGCTCCAATTAATTCACAGCCTTGTGTATTGATCAGTGGCTGATCATACTAATTTTCTTCATGTGTGATACCTGCTTTTGAAGCAATGCTTTTATCGAGAATGTGACTGACCTTCCTATTGGTAGGGTGACATGCGTGAGTTCTTAAATGCCCCAAATGGTTCTTCTAGGCAGTCAGCAACAAGCAATGACAGGCTAGATGCAGATCACTTGCAGTCTGCGTTAGGTGGCAGAACGGTATGTGGCTAATCTTTTTAAGAGACTAATCAGATGGGTTATTTCTCATAGGATGTCATACCTGGTTAATGACGAAGTAAGCCAAGAGTTTGTAATCCTTCAGGACGTTTTTGATCTGCCTCTCCACATGGCTCGGGATCAAATTGAGGAAAGTCTGCGAAACAAGATGGCTTCTATCAAGGTAAAGTAGGTGATTATGCATAGAGGTATTTTGCTTCATGTTCCTATCTTTGTTTATATGACAAATATCAAGTGTTGCATGTACCTGCGATAGTCATTGTATATCTTTGTTGAATTTTGAAGGAGCGAATGGGTCAACTACAAGATGCACAAAAGGGCGCAGAAGTTTCCTCAGAAGTAACAGAGAGAGAGCTTGAGCTAGAAGCTCAGCTTGTTGAGGCCAGGAGCATAATCCAAGAGCAGGTACTCTTTTTATACCATTAGAGGGTAGGAGTTCAACTAGAATTTGGAAACTGTACATTACCGCTTGTTGCATGATTAGAACAGGTAGCACTTGCAAACTTTTTGTTGTGCCATCACCCAATCGAATCTTTTGATGTCAGTAAGAGCCAAGATATATGCAATCTTGTATTGGGGTGCTTTTTAATTATATTAATGTAGTATGACTGATGTTTATGCTCTTATTACCAACCTAGCAGTCTTAAAATTACTAGTGGTGCTGAAATTTCATTATTAAATAAACAATGGACCTGGCGCTGGATTACCAGTGATCTGGCTATATAAATGGTGCTTTTATATGCTAGCCTACCTTAAAAATATTGAGATGGAAATTTTTTCTCTGACTGTTGCTTTTTTGGATAGAACTTTTAACGGCAAACCCGAATTGAGTTCAAGAAATGGTGGATTTAGGTCCCAGTTGCCTTTATTTATTTACTTTCTTACCTATTAAAAACGGTTTATTTACTTTCTTGAAAGGCCTTTACTTTTGCTTTTCTTTCCATTGAGCAACATAATTTTCTGTCGTCACAACTTTGATTCTGTTGACCACCATTTTTGAATTTCATTTATCTTTGAAATCTTCAATGTAGTTATTCTTTAGGCTTAGTGGAAGCCTGAGGTGATAATAAAAGAGAAACAATAGGAAGTAAAATTGGAAAAAGGAGAATTCATCTGTGGCATGGCCTACTATCATTAGGTCATCCAAATTTAGCATGCAACCACATGATATACTTTTAGCGTACAATTGGTCAAAATTGTTTTCTGTGATAGAATACTGAACAGTTAACTTTGAAGTCTGATACCCTGGATTAAGTTGTAAAACAATGCAAAAATAAAAATAAAATTTGGAAACAAATGCTTCAAAGGATTTTGTTAAATTCCTGAAAATTGATAGACTATTGCTATGACAATAAAATTTATTTCTTTAAATTTGAGCATCTTCGCAACTGAACTTTTGTATGCTCTTGTCCGTTTTATATGACAAATCTTGCTGAACTTTGGAACAAAATTTGACACTTAATTTGCAGGCATCGATTATGTCCAAACATCTTACCAAGTCTGAGAAGCCAAGGTACTCCATATTGGGGCAGATCTTCCCTCCCTGCACTCAAAAATAGGGAATAGGGGAAACAGAGGAATACTCTCCATTTCTCTGCACAATACCAAGAGCCATGCACATGTCACTTATAAAAAAAAATAATACAAATAAAAACTAAAAAAGAAAAAAGAAAAAGCCAAGAGCTCATGCACATATCCTCTTNGGGGGTTGCACAAGTGGATGGGATGGAATAGCTAATGTTTGAACCTTTCATCTCATATGCATCCGTAAAATTGCAGGCGATTGAGTGGCCATATGAATTCTGAGAGGGACCTACTCATTTCGAGCCCAACTGAGGTATCAACAGTGAAATTTTGCTTTAGCTTCTCATGTCAATGACTGTTTTAGCTATTGCAATGCTAATTGTGTTTTTATTTGTGAATTGCTGTCTTTAAACTGAACATGGTTATGGACTTATGGTCACAATGAAACTAGAGACTAAAATAGTCATATATATATGTGTATGTGAGAGAGAGATTGTACGAATGCACGTATAAGAATTTGGATGTATGGTATTGGAATTTGGTTTGATAATTTACCTTGTTAGCATGTGACAAGGAAAAAGTACTAGGAAGGAGTTGGGGCATGTGACATCTCATGGGAGTCATTTTGATCCTAAAGAAAATTGGCAATGGAAGGCCATTGCCAATCCAGGACTTCCTGGGTGCAGTTAGTGGTAAGATCATAAAGTCTTGATGCAACTTTGTGGTTCATTTGGATTGTGGAGGTTTGGTTGGGATTTAGGACTCTTCAAATCAAGGCTGCTAAGTTGTTGTGGATATGTGTATAAATCACATAGAAGTGAGGTAGAAGAAGAAAGAACAAAGTAAACACCTTAAAAGCTATACTGTATTTTAGGATCCTCACCTAGAAAAGTTGTAGTTCGTTTTTGTAAGGAAAATCAGTATGTGATTTTGTAGTGTTATAAAGTTAGGATTTAATTGAGGATAACTAGTAAAGAAGGAAACTCACAAGGACATTCTGCCAGAGGAAGTGCTATGTTTTTAAAATCATATGTGGCCATATAAGTGAATATGTGAAAAGTTTAGGGGAGGGAAGAAAATGCTGGAAACATTGTACAATCGTACAAAACAGCCTGTGATCTTCTGTGATCAATTAATAACCCTAAGCTGTGATTCGCAGAGAGTATCTCTGGAATAAACTTTGTGAGTGTCTATTCGATGGTACGTGTTTTATTTCTACTGCAAGAAATTTAGTGCAAAGGAGTCGAATCTCGATACACTCACAATTATGCGTTGGATTTGGATCCCCCATAAATGGAGCCTTTTCCATTACCTCTCTAAATAAGTGAAGTAATCTTTGATAAAACTAATGGTTCAACGTTTGCACCTCTACCTTCAACTAATCAAATCATGGGACTGCAGAGTATGCGTTAGTGATTGAAGGTGTTGGTTTATGTTTAGTCAACAATGACATGCCAATTGGAAGAGTTGGTGGAAAGAGTTGGTGTGGATGCTAGGAGGAAACTTCCTCATTTGATGTCACCCATGACATCAAGAGGAGGTAGTTTGATGTCACCAATACCAATGACATCAAGAAGAGGTCTTTACCTCTATAAATAGATGCACTCCTTCATTTGTAGAAA